GAATCAGCTGGCTTCCCTGTTCTCTCTGACTCCCAGACCTGGTGGGCAACCCCCAAGTCTGCCCTGAATATAGCTGCTGTCACAGGTACAAGGGGACCCTGGAGGGTGTCACAGTCAAGGGCACATGGGCAGCTGGTGCTGGGCTGCAGGGGTATTCTATTTCACCTATACAGTGTCAAAAAACTTTCAAAATGCTGAGATCTTAAAGGGCGGGGGCGATTCTACTGTGTGCCTGCTATGAGTCTTCCCCAGCCGCCATGCTGCTGGGGGCCTGCTTGCTACATTTCTCTGCAGGCCACATCCTTCCCTAATGCTTCTGCTGATGTGTTACCCCCTCCCACTCCCTCCCAGTCCTGGGGACCATTAGAACTTGTAAACCCCACTAGCCGAAACAGCAGGCTTCCACTTGCCTTTCCTAGGTGCTGGGTATGGCCATGGCCTCTTCCCTGGGAGCCCTTCCCTACCCCTGCCTCTCACCTCTCCTCTCCTACCACCCATGTCAAGGAAGGGGGATACTGGGGCATACTCTGTCTGGCCTTCATTTCATCAGCACCTCCTGTGCTGGTGAGGTCAGTGCTGTGGTTCCATTTTGCAGATGAGGAAACAGAGGCTCAGGCAAGTTGCCATGTAGCCCACTTCCCCTCGACTCATGCTCACTTGAGGAGCTCTGCAAAGACTTTCTTGCAACACCCCCCGCTACCAAAAATTCAGGGTGAAGCCTGGGCTGCTGGGGGATTGTTCTGTCGGTTCTTGCCCCACACTGTGCATGAATGATCTCATTCCTCCTCCAATCCAGCTTTTGGCCCAGATTCACTGCGCAGTTCAAAGCCAGCCTCTCTTGCCCAGACTGTGCACCTGAGCTCTCCCAGTACAGAAGAAGGAAATAACTTCTGTCTGCTTCCCGCCTTCCAGGAATGGGCCCCTAGGCACAGCCCTGCAGAGAGGCACGGCCCTGGGGTGCTGGTGCCTGGGTTTTGCTCTGAGACACCCACGCAGGCCTTCTGCCCCTCTGCTTCAGCCCTGCCTGCCTCCTGCCCCATTTGAATTAGTTCCTTATCCCTGGAGGCCCTGGGCTCTCCAGCTGCTCTGCTTCACCCCACCAGGTGCCTCTGCCTTCCCCACTTTCCTGCCTTCCTTGCCATCTGGACGCTCTTTGGAGGTGGACTAGCATGAGCAGAGCAGGGCGCCACCACCGCATCAAAGGGCTCTAGATTTGGGAGGCGGGCTGGGGTGTGACCTTGTGGCACACATGACTTGGGGATGGCAGAGTCAGAGCTGGAAGAGAAATTCAGAGTCTGTGGGGTCAGTGACTCCCTGGAGAATGCTGTGTGAGGCTTGGTTAACCCTGGACACGTCTGGGTCGGGATTCTGGCTGGCTGACATTTAGTACAGCTGTGTGTCTCCTTGTTTGAAGGCCAGAGCTTAGAGAAGCCGGGGCTAACCCTGAAGGGAGAGCTCCACAAGGTGGGGGTCAAGTTGAGCTTACTCAATGCTTCATCCTGGGCTTGTAGGGTCTTAGGTCCTCAATAAGCCCTAGGGGATCGTTGCTCTTTGGGGACACAAAAAAACGAGTGGGAAGTTTTCAGGGCAGGCGCACCTGCAGCTAATACACCATGGGTATTGTCAGTGGTCACAGAGGGAGGCACTACAGAGAGAGAAACTCAGGAAAGCCCCAGAATCTGAGCCCCTCAGGAACTTCAGGGGCTTCCTCTGTTGGCCCGCACATCTGCCTCATGCCATCTAACCAGACCTAATTAATCAATAGCCAAGCTGCCGCCCGGAGAGTACTTATTCATCTGTGAATTGATTGCTGCACTTTTGCCACCGCGACGGAGAATCCTTGTACCCACAAAGGCTGGGTGCCATACCAGGTACCTATGGTCCTATACCAGGGAGCTGTGGGTTCCTGCTAGCCTTAGTCTGGTCACAGGTGGAAAACAGAGGACTAGAGACAGGTGTAGAAGGGTGGGGCTTTAATTCCAGGTCATTGGAGACGGCTGTCATCTTGCTGGGGCTTGAGGGCATCCAGCCCTTATTGTGGGACAGACCCTGCAGCTGCCCAGACAGCAGGCCCAGCATGAGCCCCTTACGAAGTATAAGGCAAGGCCTTTGGCTATACTGAAAATGTGGGTGCCTTATAGCAGTGTACACAAGTCAGAAAATAGACCAGGGTCCTGTGAAGGCCTGAGGACTTGGCTGCCACCCAAGGTACTAAGCTGGGTGAGACTGTAGGGATGGGTCTTGTGCCAACCGCAAGGTCAGAGGTCACAGAGGTGACCAGCCACCAATAGCCTGGGCCCCTCGTGATTTCCACAGAGCCTTTGATGATCTGTGTTAATTATCAACTTTACAGAATCTAGAATCAAAAAGGGGATGAGCCACTGGGCTTGTCTGGGGGTGGGGCAGGCGGGAGTCTCTTGATTGCATTCATTGAGGTGAGAAGACCTGCCCACTGTGGGTGGCGCCATCCCCTGGCTTGGATCTTGGGCTCTGTACACGGAGAAGGGAGCTGAGCAACAGGAGCAGCAGCGTTCTCCTCTCTCTGCTTCTTGACTGTGGGTGGGATGTGAGCAGTGGCACCCATCTCCACACCATGGCTGTACCTTAAGTTGTAAGCTAAAATAAACCCTTCCTCCCTTAAGATACTTTTGTCAGAGTATTTTATCACAGCAACAGGAAAAGAAATTAAGACAATGGTCCTATATCAGGTGGCTTCCAGAACATTCCAGATGTTAAATCATCTATCCCAAGCTGGGAAGGGCTAGAACTCACAGGTGTCTACAGCACAGGCCCCGAGAGCAGGCTGCCAGCCTTAAACCCGACCTTACTTCCCGACTGGCTCACCTTTGACTCCATCCTTACACACACAACACAGCATGAAAGGAAACGCAGACAGGAGCTGCAGCTAAAAGAGCCACCTCTCCCGCCCACCCCACTGGCCTTCACACTCCAGCTTTCCCACTCAGTGTCTCCACACACTTTTTCCCAAACCTGGTCAAGATGTGAAAATCACACATAGGCATGCTGTGTATTTCATAAAAACAGGACAACACCCCACACATCGGGCAGCTAATGGCTTTTCCACGCATCAGGAGATATCCCTGTGTAGCACAGAGCCTGCTGTGAGAGACGTGCAGGATGTGAGGTCGTGGTTGGGCCCCTGGTGCTGCCTTTGCCCCTGTTGTGTCTCAGCACCCTCAGGCCTCACAGCACCCTCTGTCAGCCTGGTCCAGTTCCCTCATATGTTCCTTTGACCAGTTATCCGTTTTATTCCACACCGCTGTTTTTCTGTACATATTGTACGCTGGGCATCATTGAGTCCTTTGCCAACTCTGAATCATTTAAGCAACCTGAGATCCAGTGGGAAGCAGACCCAGGTTCCCTGCTCCACAGGTGCCTTGGGGATGAGGTCCTTGTCATAAAGCAGGCATGGTTATCTACAGAATGAACAAACTACCCAGGTGATGTTAATTACTGGCTATCTAGACAGTTCCGGAAAGTCCCTGTGACCATCTCTTGAGTTCCCACAGAGTATGCTCAAACTACATTCTTCTCCTAACTGTACAATGAGGGGTTAGCTCAGCAGGCTACACTCTGCATATTTCTTTGAAAGTTCAAACCTTAGCCCAAATCCTGGGACATGACATGTAGCCTCTAAGCCCTTGGAGTATTGTGGCTGGTAAGTGTCCACATTTGCCTGGGAACTGATGGAGAGTCTAGGTTTGGGTATGGTTGAGGCTGGGGGTTTGGACTGTGTAGTATCTTTGGAGGATTTGGAGACCCCAGCTGTCCTAGTTACTTTCTATTGCTGTGGTAAACACTGTGACCAAAACCAACTTGGAGAGGAAAAGATTTATTTCAGCTCACAGCATAGTCTTCCTTTGAAGACTATGGAGGCAGGAGCTGGAGCAGAGATCATGGAGGAATGTGCCTGACTGGCTTCTTCCTCTGGCCTGTGCTCAGCCTGATTTCTTAGACAACCCAGGCCCATCTGTCGAGGGGTGGCATCACCCACAGTGGGCTGACCCTACCATATCAGATATCGAGAAAATGCCTCACGGACATGTCCACAGGCAAATCCGTTATAGGAAATTCCCCAGTGGAGGCCCCCTCTTCCCAGGTGTGTCAGGTTGAAACTGAAGCTGTCCCGCACACCAGCCAAGGTCAACTACAAGAGAATGCGGCCACGGCTGTGCGATCAGCTCCCAATAACATCCCTGGACACAGAGGTGTGGGCAAGCATGTCGCGGGCATGCTCCATCCCTATTGTCACACATCACCGCTGGGAGAATTAACTGCTACCTGTATACCTCACTGGGGACAACTGGGTGCTTGAACCTGGAGTCTCCTCCTGTCCCTGCCTTGGGTACTTTTCCCCTGTGGTCCCATTCTTCCGTAGTAATAAACTGTGACTGTGATTGTAACAGTTTTGCTGACTCCTGAATCTTTCTAGATGAAACCTGGAGGCTGAGGGTGATTCTGAGGACTTCTGGACAGAAGAGCTACTTGGCCGCTGCTATGGGCACACGGGTACCAGGCTTTAGCCCAACCCGCCCACCTGAGCAGCTCCACTCCTGTACTCCCAGGCCCCATGAAGGGCATTTATCACCCCCACACGCTCCTCCCACTATGGCAAAGCTTGAGCATCTTAACTACATAGTCCTAGTCACCACATGCAGTCCCTTTGATGCAGCACCAGGTGATACCTGAGGCAGGTAACACCCTGGCAGCCAGGTGACAGTTTCAAACAAGGTGACACCCAGGTACCAAGTAACATAGCATCTCAGGATCCAGGCAGTATCCCTAAAGCCAGATGACATCCAGGTATCAGGAGACATTCAGGTACCCGGTGACATTCCTAGAACCAGGTGACATCCTAGGAATAAGGTGATGCCTAGGTACCAAGTGACAGCCCTAGTGACATCAAGGCACCAGGTAACATAACATTTCAGGAGGAAGGAGACATCCTGAGTGATATCCTGGTGATCCCCTGGCCTTACCTGCCGATGACTTCTATGTTGGAGATGGCGTAGAAGTACTTGTAGAGGTTTTCCCGCTGCACGTAAGTGCCACCCAGCGCTGGGCGCAGTAGCCGCATTCGCAGGTCAGTGAGGGTGAAGAACTCCTTGAGGCCCTTGGCACTCTCCAGCCGTGTGTACAGGTTGTCCATGTTTCGCAGGTCGGGGCCTGCAAAGATGGCAAAGCGGTCCCGCACCTCAAAGCGCACGTGCTTCTCCTTCTTGGAGCCCGCCCAGCGCGAGTACTCCTCAGTGCACAGCACCCGGTGGGCACTGGAAGGCGACATGTCTCGGGCCCGGCGGGCAGACATGCCAAAGGCCTCCATGCAGTCCTCGGCATAGAACTGGTAGGGCTGCCACGTGCGCCCGTTGTCCAAGGACTTCTCCAGGACCATGACTGTGGGCCGGCCATACTCAAAGGTCATCACCACGTCGTCTGTCAGCTCTACACTCTTGTTCCAGGACAGCGTGATGTTGGCCTCCAGGGGGCTGGGATAGCGGCTCCACGTGACACTCTGCCAGTAGGTGGCCAGTCCCTCGTCCTCCCTGTCGAACATGAGCCGGGGCGGGTGGGCCAGGTCAGGGTTGGAGGCATCACACTCGTTACTGCACAGGTAAGGGTTCTCCTGCAGAGGGAGAGGGACGGGAGGTGGGTGCTGGTTGCTGGGAAAGGCCTTTGGAGCCCCTGCCCTGTGCCGGCCATCTGCCGCCCATCGTGGAGTCCCGGGTCCACACAGCAGGAAGTGCCTGTCCACACAGATGACAGGCACATAAGAAGAAGAAAATGGGGGTTGGTCAGAGAGATGGGGACTCTTAGGAACTCCGTACTGTCCATTCAGTGCTCTGTAAACCTATTGCTGCTCAAGACGGTAAGCCTATTAATTAACAAACAACAAATCCCTGTCACTAACAGCTGCACAGCACCCTAGTCCACTGAAGGCCCTTTTGATGAATATTTCAGGTGTCTGCATAGAGACAAAGTGGTTTGGATCTGAGTTAAAACCTCTTGCTCTCTAATGAGCCACGTGGCACCCTCGGGGGGTAGAGATATTGCCTTCACTGCCCGGCCACCCCCGCCAGTGACACTGCAGTCAGCCTCTGGCCATGGTCTTTGATCCTCCAAAGTACAGGACGTGTATCCAGGCAGCCCAGGGCCGCTCGGTGGGCACAGTTGATCCTGGGGTCCCCTAAGGTGGGACCCACAAAGCCCCACTTGACCAAAATAGCTCTGTCCTCGGTGTCCTGTGGTGTCAGCTTCCCCCCACCTGCCTGGTCATGCCATGGGTGGGACCAGAAACCTTGGGGTGCAAGGAACTCCCCATGGAGCCCAGCACCTCACTGAGTAAACGAAGAAACCAAGGCTCAGGGAAGGCAAGACAATGTCAGGCCTTCTGGGAAGAGTAGGAGGGTCTTCTGAGAAGGAACCCAGGCCTCCTGCACCCTCCCTCTCCCTTCCCCCTCCACGCCTTCCCCTTCTTCCATCCTCCACTTCCTGTCCTCCCCTCCTTCTCCTTCCTTCCCTCCTCCTCTCCTTCCTCCCCCTTCCTCTCCTTCCCCATTTCTTGCTTTCCCTCTTCACCTCTCTTCCCCACCCCCCATTGTCTCAGGGATTCACATCTTGATGTCTGACAAACTCACAGGCAAGGTAGCAAAAAGAGGACCTTCCTGTGACTTCTGGTGCTGACCCTGCCTAGTGCTGTTGCCCTGAATGGGAAGAGTCTTGAGTGGCCCCGTGGCTCCATGACCGCAGAGGACAGGCCCAATGACTGGGGGAAAAGGTAGCGGGCTGCAGGGGCAGGAGGAGGCAGGCTGACTGCAGGTCAATCCCAGGCCGCAGAGAGCAGAAAGGCCACTCTGAGCCCAGGGGCTGAATGAGCCCTGCTTGCGCACCTGGATGTGAGAGCCGGAGGTCAGCTTGACCTGGGTGGGGTGCCCTCCTTGCCGTCCTTCCACTGCCTTGTCCTGTGTCAGGGGATGAACTGTATTCCCGCCAGTTCGTATATTGATGCCTTAACCCCTGGTACCTCTGAAGGTGGCTGTATTTTTAATTATTTTATGTGCACGAGTGTATGCACTTCATACACGTATGTGCACCATGTGCATGCCTGGTGCCTGAGGAGACCAGAAGAGGGCATTGGATCCTCTGGAACTGAACTAACAGATGGTTGCTAGCTGCCATGTGGGTGCTGGGAACTGAACTCGGGTCCTCTGCAAGAGCGTTCTTAACTGCTGAGCCATCTTTTTAGCTCCATGGTATTTTGAGACGGAAATTTAAAATGAAAGGGGCTACTGAGTTAAAGGAGGTCCTCAGATGGCTCTACTCCAGCCTGACTGGGGATTTCATAAGAGAAAAAGGACACACACAGAAACACCAGGGGAGGACAAAGAGCAAAAGGCCAGAAGAGACATGGGGGAGGCAGCCACAGAAAATGAGGCGCGAGGTCTCAGAAGGAATCACTCTAACACCTTGATTTTGAGCTGTGAGACACTCACTGAGCTCTTGCTGAAGCTCAGCTCGGAACAGCCTCATCCCGAGTGAGCCAAAGGGGAAGCAGGTGGAGGACCAGCTCAGCGGGGGCAGTAGCTCAGGGGGATGTACTGATCCTGAGTTTCCCAGGTGTCTCTCAGAGCCTCTGCCATAGCCTGGATTCCCACACTGCCTTGCCTAGCAAAGCTCCAAAAACTCCTGTCAGCCCAGTGTGGAAACCACGCCCTTCCCCAGACTGCCTGGTAATTTTTTTAGTGGTCCTCTATCTCATATTGAGTGTCCACATTCCTGTCATCTCCAGTTGCTGTGAGTCACCACACCTCATCTTTTCCCTGGCCCTTCTCCCGTGTCTCCGTGCTTTACCTCCCCGACAGCCTGCTATTGGTCTCTGGGCCAGGGAAGGGAGGGCTGTGGGACACAGAGGGTCTCTCAAAGCCACCAGCATCTTGGCCTGTCTGTCACTGGGAAGACAGATGCAGTGGCTTTGCCAGGGGCTCCAGCCTGATTGAGGACACCATGTCGTTCAACCTGCAGGTCCTGCCGGCCCCCACCCGGGCCCCCGGGAAGCAGATGGTCAGAAGCTAGTGAATCAGCTAGTATTTACCAGCCCCATGCAGGCTGCAGAGCCTGCTTCACCAGTCACCAGCACAGCAATAATCCCAGGCTGTGGTCAGTGCAATCCTCTCTTCACCGCTTCCCTCTTAAGGTCTTGAAATCCTGTATCACTAAAGCATCGGCTGTGTGTGTCCACGCTGAGCCTACATCCTCTCTGAGTACAAAACTGACTTGGATCCTGGTTTGCCTTCCCTCCCTCACCACGGAGAATTCCAAGGATGGATCTGGGGATGAAGCCCAGCTGGCCCCGCCCCCACCAAGTGGGACAGCTGAAGGCAGCAGGAGGCAGAATTGGCTTTACCAGCCTTCCAGGCCTTTAGGCTTCCAGATCAGATTAAGTGATAATGAAAACAGCCTAAATAAAGTGGCTTGACACAGGAGGCGGAAGTCAGGTGAGTTTTAGACACATTCCTAACCTTGTAGAAGGCACCCAAGCCCCCCCCCCACCACCGCCCACAACCCCTACTGACCGCTCCTCTGAGAATCCTGGGGAATCTGAGCCCAGCATCTCTGCAGTTTTTCCTATCTCCACACACGCCAAGCAAGTCACCTGGGAAGCAGCCAGTGCAACAAGCCTGGGCCAATAGTGTAGGGAACCTGGGTGGGGTGGGCACGAAAGGTCACTTGCAGACTGTCCAAGCAGCGGACACCTGGCAGGAGATAGTCTGGAGAGACCATTTCAGGCCCGGCTTGCACATCTGGGTCTCTAATGATTTTGATTTTCTGGAATCCGAGGCGAGGTAGTGAATGTCCTGGTCCAGGTGGAAAGCATGATGGGATGGGAATAGAACTGTTGGTGGGTAGAACATTTCTCATCTGGGGGAGGTCCGGCCACGTGAGCCTCCAGACCCCTAATCAAGAAGCCCTTGTGGTTCTCACCCATCACCAGAATTGGAACAGAGTCTCAGGAGAAGGACAGCTTCATACTTTCTGGGCTCAAAACCTAAATATTTTTTTGTTGGGATAAAATCTCAGTCACTGTTCACAACATGGGTGGTCTTGGTGACTTGCAAAGAAGCTTCCAAAGTAAGTCTGTGGCAAGATGAGGAATGAGTAAGAAGTTCCCTCTCAGCCACACATGAGCTCCCTAAGTCTGGGTGAGCCCTAGTTTCTTTGGGCTTGACGAGGTTCAGGACTTGTTACCTCTATTCCAAGCCGAAAGAATTTGAGAAACCCTATACAGGAAGGTCAGTCCTAGCCCTTCTTGACAGCAGGTTGTGAGGCCTTCACTGTGGAGAGGCCTCCCCGGGTCAAAGGAAAGGAATTCTTTAACTCTGAGGACACAGGATGACAGTGAAGAATCTGAGTATCCAGTCCTTACCAAGTTCCCTCCAGTTTAATACCCTCCACAGGCTTCTTATCCAATCACACTCCTCCATCAGTACCTTCTCCCTCACACCAAGCATAAAAACACACTGATTTGGGTGGACGAGATGGCTCAGTGTGTGAAAGGGTTTTCTGCACAAGATGATGTCCTGAGTTCAATCCCCAGAACCCACATAAAGGTGAAAAGGAGAGCACTGACTCCGTAAAATTGTCCTGTGACCTCCACACACACACACACACACACACACACACACACACACACACACCACTCACATACACACAATAACAGTAAATAAGATTTTTTTTAATTTATTTTGAAAATATACAGACTTACTCCAATCTTTGTGGTCTTTATTCGCCACCTCCTATGTCATGTAAAATTTACCCTGAATAGAAAATCTATGTGCTTTTCTTCCCTTCTCCCGTCCCTCTTTCCTCCGTCCCTTCCTTCCCTTCCTTTTGCCTTCTTGGCACTTGGCATGGATCCAGGGCCTTCTACACATTAGGCAAGTGCTCTTCTTCCTGTCCTGCATCCCCAGCCCCTAATCTCTCTTTTAAAAAATTAATTTTTGTTTTATGTGTATGAGTGTTTTGCCTGCATATATGTAGGTATACCATGTCTGTGCAATGCCTGCAGAGGCCAGAAGCAGGCATCAGATCCCCTGGAACTGGAGTTACAGATGGTTGTTAGCCACCATGTGGGTGCTGGGAACCGAACCCGGGTCCCCTGCGAGAGCAGCCAGTGTTCTTAACTGCTGAGTCATCTCTCAGCCTCCCTAATCTATCTATTTTATTTTATATTTTATTTTATTTTATTTATTTTATTTTATGTGTATGAGTATATTGCCTGCATGTTTGTGAGTGCACCTGTGTCATGCAATACCGCGGAGGTCAGAAGAGGGCTTCGGATTCCCCTGGAACTTGAATTAAGGACAGTTCATAGCCACCATGTGAGTGCTGGGAATCGAACCCGTGTCCTCTGCAAGAGTATCTTTAAAAAATGTAGTTAGGGTGCTAGAGAGATGGCTCAGTGGTTAAGAACACTGACTGTTCTTGCAGAAGACCTGGGTTCAAATCCCAGCACCCACATAGCAGCTAACAACGGTCTGTACTCCAGTTCCAGGGGATCCGACAGCCTCTTCTGTCCTCCGAGGGCATCGCACAGCATGGCTGCACTTACCTACATGCAGGCAATAC